TAGTAGTAGTAGTAGGAGTAGGAGTAGGAGTAGGAGTAGTAGTAGGAGTAGTAGTAGTAGTAGTAGTAGTAGTAGTAGTAGTAGTAGTAGTAGTAGTAGTAGTAGTAGTAGTAGTAGTAGTAGTAGTAGTAGTAGTAGTAGTAGTAGTAGTAGTAGTAGTAGTAGTAGTGGTGGTAGTAGTAGTAGTCGTCGTCGTCGTCGTCGTCGTCGTCGTCGTCGTCGTCGTCGTCGTCGTCGTCGTCGTCGTCGTCGTAGTTGTGGTCGTAGTAGGCGCCCCCCTGACGTCCGTGCCAGCGGCGGGCGAGCGCCAGCCGCCGCTGCGCGGGGAGCTGCCCGCCGCCGACCTCTCGAAGGTAGGGGAAAGGACGGGGGCGGGGGGCGGCGCGCGAGGCACGCTGGAGTGCGGTGGCGAGGGGGACGGACAGAGGAGGAGGAGGAGGAGGAGGAGGAGGAGGAGGAGGAGGAGACGATGGAGGAGGTGGAGGAGGAAGAGCATGAAGAGGAGGAGGACGAGGAGGAGAAGGCGGAAGAGCAGGAGGAGAAGGAGGAGGAGGAGAGATGAGGAGGAGGAAAAGCAGGAGGAGGAGGCGAAGGGGGAGGAGGCGAAGGAGGCGGAGGAAAAGTGGGGATGAGAGGGGGAGGCGGGCGACAGGGACGGGGCACGGCACGGCAGAGGGAGGGAGGGCACGGCACGGCAGAGGGAGGTGGCAGAGCGAGAAGGAGTGCGAACCGCTCAGAGGGGACACGAGAGGGGGGTCGTCGTTGTCGTCGGCGTCGTCCTTGGCTCTTCTTAACAACGCCTTGGGATTTGTAGCTGGTTCCCATCGGTGTTTCTATATCTAGGTACACACATGTATTATTGATGTTGTAAAACACCGTTTTGAACTCTGGCCTCTTGACAAACTAAAGAACTAAACAATCGCGAAGGTGGTATTGGGTCCTCGTTTTGAAGAGACAACGCCCCGTGTCACTCCTCCTCCTCCTCCCGCTGCCCTCCCCTCTTCCCGCGCAGTCCGCATGGTGCCGCCGCCCCATGTTGGCACACCCCTCACAAGGTTCGCGACCAAACAGGAAGCTCCACCTAAGGTCCCAGCGGCAAGGTTCGCATGCAGCTCCACCCTTATTTCGGCGCACCCCTGACACGGTTCGTGGCCCCATAGGGCGCTCCACCGAAGGCGGCAATGGCAGGGTTCGCATGCAGCTCCATCCTCATTTCGGCGCACCCCTCACACGGTTCGTGGCCCAATGGGGAGCTCCATCAAAGGTCCAAGAGGCAAGGTTCGCATGCAATTCCACCCTCATTTGGGCGCACCCCTCACACAGTTCGTGGCCCCACAGGGAGCTCCACCGAAGGCCCCAGTGGCAAGGTTCGCATGCAGTTCCACCCTCCTTTCGGCGCACCCCGCATACGGTTCGTGGCCCCATAAGGGGCTCCACCGAAGGCCCCAGCGGAAGGGTTCGCATGCATGTCCACCCTGATTTCGGCGCACCCCTCACACGGTTCGTGACCCCATAGGGGGGCTCCACCGAAGGCCCAAGTGGCAGGGTTCGCATGCAGTTCCACCCTCATCTCGGCGCACACCTCACACGGTTCGTGGCCCCATGGGGAGCTCCACCGAATGCCTCAGTGGCAAGGTTCGCATGCAAATCCAATGTGGGTGCCTCTCTCACACGGTTCGTGGCCCCATAGGGAGCTCCATCGAAGGTCTCAGAGGCAGGGTTCGCATGCAATTCCACCTTCACTTCGGCGCACCCCTCACACGGTCCGTGGCCCATAGGGAGCTCCACCGAAGGCCACAGCGGCAGGGTTCGCATGCAGTTCCGACCCCATTTCGGTGCCTCTCTCACACGGTTCGTTGCCCCATAGGGGGCTCCACCGAAGGCGTCAGTGGCAAGGTTCGCATGCAGTTGCACCCTCATTTCGGCGCACACCTCACACGGTTCGTGGCCCCACAGGGAGCTCCACCGACTGCCTCAGTGGCAGGGTTCGCATACAGTTCCACCCATGTATGCGCACCTCACACGGCTCGTGGCCCCATGGGGAGCTCCATCGAAGGTCCCAGAGGCAGGGTTCGCATGCAGTTCCACCCTCATTTCGGCGCACCCCTCACACGGTTCGTGCCCCCATAGGGAGCTCCACCGAAGGCGTTAGTGGCAGGGTTCGCATGCAGTTCCACCCTCATTTCGGTGCACCCCTCACACGGTTCGTGGCCCCATAGGGAGCTCCATCGAAGGTCCAAGTGGCAGGGTTCGCATGCAGTTCCGCCTCTATTTCGGCGCACCCCTCACACGGTTCGTGGCCCCGTAGGAGCTCCACCGAAGGCCCCAGTGGCAGGGTTCGCCTGCAGTTCCACCCTCCTTTTGGCGCACCCCGCATACGGTTCGTGGCCCCATAAGGAGCTCCACGGACTGCCTCAGCGGCAAGGTTCGCATGCAGTTCCACCCCAATTTCGGAACTCCACTCACACGGTTCGCATGCAGTTCCACCCTCCTTTCGGCGCACCCCGCACACGGTTCGTGGCCCCATAAGGAGCTCCACCGAAGACCACAGCGGCAGGGGTCGCATGCAGTTCCACCGTGATTTCGGCGCACCCCATAAGGAGTTCCGCCGAAGGCTCCAGTGGGAGGGTTCGCATGGCACCACCGCGCCCAATTCGGCACGCCCCTCACACGGGTCGTGGCCCCATAAGGAGCTTCACCGAAAGCGGTACCCACAATGCGGTACTCGCAGTTGCATGTGGTTGGGTCTTTCGTCAGGCAAATTCCAGCGTGTTTAGGCCCGTCGCTGGGGACCATCAATTTCAGCGTGTTTTGCGTCCAGATCGAAAACTGTTCCTCGTCTTCCCTGCTGTCTTCACTCCTGCTTTTTCGTTTCTGCCGCCGTGCTCCCTCGCAGAGGTAAAACAGCTAGCAAAAGCGCTCTAACACCGCTCGAACACAGACCCGAGACAGGCCCGGAGGCCCGATGGCCCCAGGAGGGACACTCGGCCATCGGGCCCGCCAGACTGCACGCCAGGAGAAGGGCTGCACGCCAGGAGAAGGACATGAGGACGTCGTAGACGGCAATGCTAAACAATGCAACCAACTGATCTGAGAACGCCGAAGGCAACGTAGCCGAACACGCAACCACATGAATCAGTTCTTCTAGCGTGTTGACTCTTCCTGTTGGGACCCAAAAGCGCTACCACAATGATTTCCAGCACGCCGAATTATAAACGGTACAACACCGCCCTGGGCATAGTAAAGAAGGACCAAGTCGTCGTCGTCGTCGTCGTCGTCGTCGTCGTCGTCGTCGTCGTCGTCGTCGCGGGGAGCTGTCCACCGCCGACCTCTCGTGGGTGTGGGGGTGGGGAGGGACGGGGCACGCCGAAGGGTAGTAACAGCGCGAAACACGGGGGTCTGGCTCAGAGGTAGACTGGCGCAGAGGGGGGATGGCTCAGGTCAGCGGGGAAACGAGAGGGGGGACTGGCGCACCGATAGCTAGGGTGGGGTGGGGCAACGATAGCTGGGGTACTGGCTCAGGAGATGAAACATCGACCCGGGATCGGCGATACATCGCCGATAGATCGGCGATCGACTCCCGATGGCGAGTCCGCACGTTGCTTGGCGGGGTGGGGCCATTGGGCGATCGGGGGTCGATGCATTTCCGCCCTGGGACTATCCCCCCCTGTCGTTGCTCCTGAGGGGAGGGGGGGGGGCAGGACAGGGCACGGCGAAGGGCGGTTGCAGAGCGAGAAGAGGGGGAATGGCGCAGAGGGGACACGAGAGGTGGAGTGGCCCAGGGAGGCCCAAATCGACAGATACACGTTTCAGGATCTTGACTTTTTCAATCTTTCCTCGGTTTCGCTCTTCTTCGCCATCTTCCATACTTCCCGATATTTTAATCGAATCGACGTGTATATGTTCCCTCAAGAGGGGAAGCGCCGACTCGTAATCGGCGGTGCGTAGCCGACAAATCGGCGATAAACCCCGATCAGGTTCGCCCTTCGGCGGCCGGGTACGCCGAATGGCGGGCGTGAGCTTCGTCGCCAGCCATTCGTTGATCGACTGAGCCGGTTGACCTCTTCGTGGATGGACAGAACCCCCTTTTTCAAAACGTGGTTAGTGAAAACGACCTCGGGCCCAAACCTGGCGGGCGCAGGCCTGGAGAATGACGGCCGCGGCGCCCTCTCGAGAACCAAACACGGGGACAGCTCACCAGTCGACGTGTCCGGGTGGGGGCTTCTGCCCACCCCGAGCCCTGCCCTCGCCTTCCAGTTGGCGGCGTCCACGAGGGGGGCGTCCACGAGGGGGGCCCCGCAAATCATGGCCGAGGCACGTGCGCGGCGCAGGCTGGGGATCACCCCCTCCGGGCCGGCCCCGGTCTGGCCATCGCTCGGACGTTGCTTTCCTGTGTCTTTCTCGGTCTCGCGCGTGGCTTTCTCGCCAAATGATCAAGGATACTCCTCGATGGTCCTCGCCGAAGGGAAAATGCACACGTCCGAGCGATGGACGTTGATTTCCTGTGTTTTTTTGGTTTCGTGCGTGGCTTTCTCGCCAAATGATCAAGGATACTCCTCGATGGTCCTCGCCGAAGGGAAAATGCACACGCCCGAGCGATGCCAGGCGGTTCAAGGGGGGGGGCACCTGGCCCGAGAGCCCGGCGGGTTCTGCTCGACTTCGGCGCTCGGGCCCCGGGGCCTATCGGGGGGGCAGGGGATCGGATCGGATCGGATCGTGCGCTGGATCGGGCCGCGTCCGCAGGGGGTCGAGGTCGAGTCCGGTCGGCTGCGCCAGGATGCCAAGCGGCGCCACGCAGAGCCTCGGGCCGCACCGCAGCGCCGGGAGACGGGACCTGGCCGGGTGAGACCTCGGCGTCGAATATCGACACGGTCGGGTGGAAGTGGGCCCCGGGTGGGAGGCTGCCGCTGCACTGGCGGCGGTCTCTGGGCCGACTCGTGGGGTGTGGTCCGTGGGGGCGTCCGCTAGGGAGGGGAGGGGAGGGAAAGGAAAGGGGGAGGGGGAGGGGGAGGAGGAGGAGGAGGAGGAGGAGGAGGAGGAGGAGGAGGAGGAGGAGGAGGAGGAGGAGGAGGAGAGGAGGAGGAGGAGGAGGAGAGGAGGAGGAGGAGGAGGAGGAGGAGGAGGAGGAGGAGGAGGAGGAAGGGAGGGAGGGAGGGAGGAGGAGGAGGAGGAGGAGGAGGAGGAGGAGAAGGAGGAGGAGGAGGGAGGATCCTTTTGCTCGGTTCCGGACCACCTCGGGGCCGCTCTCGAGCCCCAGGGCCATCCAGAACGGATCCGGGACGGGGCGCTACCCCCCCAGGGGAAGGGGCTGGGCTGGGGCCTCGCAGGGGAAGGATCCCCTCCTCGGATGTCTTGCTTCGGCGGGGCGTCCAATGACCCTGCCACCGATCCCGGCGTGGCGGGGTCCGGGAAAAGCATGTGCGCGGATCCTGGGCTCAGGGTGGGCCCAGGTCCAGCCAGAGAGCGGTGGCGTGGTCGGTGGACGTCCCCCGGTGCGGAGCGAAGCCCAAGACTTGCAACGTCTTGCAGACAGCAGCAGGGCGGAGCGCCTTCGCCCTGCGCCACGCACCCCTGGATGGGGGGCAACTTTTGCCCTCGCCCCCAAGTCTCCAACGATACATCGAACATGGATTCAGGGGAGCGCAAACATGGATTAGCGATCCATGGATTTGGCGCGCGGTCGCCAGATCCATGGATCGGGGGAGGCGCCCTCCCCAAAATGCGGCCGGTGCAACCTCGCTCGGCGGCGGCAATCCGCGATTTCACACGGAAACGGGACCCGCCGCTAATCCACGCCCCCTTGATCCATGCTGGCGATCGCCTGATGGATCTGAACCTCCCGCTGAACCCCGTGCCAGGTGCGCCGAGGAGGCGGTGCACCCTGGCCCCAGGCATGTTGCGCGGAGACGAGGGGACCATACAGCCTATTGAACCATACATCACACACACTCACACACGCGTTCACTCTCTCACATGCACACGCACTCACACACACACACACACACACGCGCACTCGTTCACACACACACACGCATTCACACACACATACACACAGACACACACACACACACACACGCACGCACGCACGAATGCACGCACGCACGCACACATAGATACACAGACACACACACACACTGACACAAACACAGACATGGACACACACACACACGGACACAGACACGGACACAGATACACACAGATGCAGAGACAGACACACACACATAGACACAGACACAAACAGACGCAGGCACACACGCAGACACACACACAGACAAAGGCACACACAGACACACACAGACACACACAGACACACACACAGACACACACACAGAGACGCACACAGACACACACACACAGACACTCACACACAGACACAACGACACACACACACAGAGACACACACACACAGACACACACACACACACACACACACACACACACACACACACAACAACACACAGACACAGACACAGACACAGACACAGACACAGACACAGACACACACAGACACACACACAGACACACACAGCCACACAGACACACATTCACACACATTCACACACACACACATTCACACACCCACTCACACACACACACGCACACACACACACACACGCACACACACACGCACACACACACGCACACGCACGCACTGACACGAACACACACAAACACACAGACACTCACACAGACACTCAAACAGACACGGACCTAGACACGCACACAGGCACACACAGACACACACACAGCCACACACACACACAGACACACACACAGACACAGACAGAGACAGAGACACAACCACGGACACAGACACTGACTCAGACACAAACGCGGAGACAGAGGCAGAGGCAGAGACAGCGACAACGTCAGAGGCAGAGGCAGGGGCAGAGGCAGTGACAGAGGCAAAGACAAAAACAGATATACACACAGACAAACACACACACACCTAGTCCTCCCCCTCTTGGACATCTCCGACCCTCCCACCAACGCTTCAATAACAAAATCCCAGTCATATGCTCTCCTTGCCTCTGCTCTCCGCGTGTCCGTGTCGCCGAGCATCTCTCACGCGCTTCGTGGCCCCACTGGAGACCCCTTTGGCGGTGATCGCATGGCGCCAATCCCACCAGCCCTCTGGGCGTAGGTGGTCTAGAACAGATCCTCTTCCACCCCTCCCTCTTCCCCCTTGGGGAGGGGTTTACCCCTCCCCCTACCCCCTCCCCTGGACCTGGACGGGGGGGGCCGCGGGTAGTTAGAGCGTCCAAGATGGCCCAAGACGGCTCCAAGAGCGCCTCAGAGAACCCAAGATGAGCTCCAAGATGGCTCAAGATAGCGCAAGATCGCTCACGATGGCTCCTAAGATGGTTCCAAGAAGCCCAAAGACGGCCCCAAGATAACTCCAAGTGGCCAAACAGCTCCCCAAGGAGGCCCCGAAGAGGCCAAAATCGTCCCAAAACCTAAGGAAAATCAATGATTTTTGCTTTCTCGCCTTTTCGCTTCCGATGGCCATCCGAGGCCTGGAGATGGCTCCAAGATGGCCCAAGAGGGCCCCAAGAGAGCCCCAAAAGAGCCCCAAGACGGCCCCAAGAGCGCCCAAGAGCACTCCAAGAGCGTTCCAAGAGGGGTCCAAGAGGCGATTTTAGGGGCTTCCGAGGGGGGGCGCTAATTAAACCCCCCCTCTTGTTTGATCGACTCCCTCCAAGATGGCCCCAAAAGCGCCCCGAAGGCTCCCCAGAGCGCCTCAAGAGGGTCCCAAGAGGCGCCCAAGATGCCCCAAGGCGCCCAAAAAGCCCTCCAAGAGGCCCTCAAAAGACCCCCAAGAAGCTCCTTCCCCTCCTCCTCCTCCTCCTCCGATTCTTCCTCCTTCTCCGTTCTCCTCCTCCTCCTCCTCCTCCTCCTCTTCCCCCTCCTTCTCCTCCTCCTCCTCCTCCGACGACGACGACGACGACGACTCCTCTTCCATCCTCCCCCTCTCGGGGTCTGTGACAGCTTCCCCCGCCCTTTGTTATTCTGCATGCTCCCCGACTTCCCTGATCACCTTAACTCCCCTGAGCATCGTTTCTGGATGGGCTGGTGGGGATACGCGAAGCGTCAACAATTCCGTTTCGGCACACCACTCCCACGACTAACGATGAAGAGCTGGCTCTGCTCTTTTATTATTCTTCTTCTCCCTCCTCTTGGGGAGGTCTCAGGACACCTTTCTTTAGTGGCGGCAAGCCCTTAGTCCTCCCGACGGCACCGAAACACGAAACTTGCAGTGAAGCAGTGGTTGACTTGAAACAATGGAGAGGAGGACGAGGATGAGGACGAGGAGGAGGAGGAGGAGGAGAAGGAGGAGGAGGAGAAAGAGGAAGAGGATTACACAATACGGGTGCTGCGAGAATTGGTCAGGTGCCGCACATACCCAACAAGAACAAGAGCTGGAGCACGATGGGCATGCGAGAAGGCCAACAGCTCCCCCCCCGCACCGACCCGCAGGGACTCGTACCCACAAGGAACCGAGCTTCTCTTACGGGGCCACCACGGAGCTCGTCCCCTTGAAGCTTCGGTGTATGCCCCCTGCCGGCCGCCCTATGAGAAGTCCGGGTCTGCGGCACCATCTAATCGCAGCGGCTCTTGCTAGTCGCACGCACAGCTCCTTCGTAGGTGTTGACGTTGACCCCCTTTCTGCGGATGTCCTTGTCCCCCCCCTCGTCCTCCTCCTCCTCTCCTCCTCCTCCTCCTCCTTCTCCACCTCCGCCCTCCGCTCCTCCTCCTCCTCCTCCTCCTCCTCCCCTCCTCCTCCCCTCCCCCTCCCCCTCCTCCTCCTCCTCCTCCTCCTCCTCCTCCTCCTCCTCCTCCTTCCTCCTCCTCCTCCTTCCTCCTCCCTCCTCCTCTCCTCCTCCAGGTCCCTCCTTCCTGCTTCTCCTCCCCTCCTCCTCCTTCCCTTCTCCTCCTCCTCCTCCTCCTTCTCCTCCTTCTCCTGGTCCTTCTCCTCCTCCTCCTTCTCCTCCTCCTCCTCCTCCTCCCCTTCCTCCCCTTCATTTCCCCTCCTCTCCTCTTTCCTTCCTCCTCCTCCTCCTCCTCCTCCTCCTCCTCCTCCTCCTCCTCCTCCTCCTCCAGGGCAGCTGCCCCAGGACCCCTCTGCGTCGTGGCGCCCCCCCGCCGCCCGACGCCCCCCCCGGGCCCGACGGGCGCCCCCCACCACCCGACGCTCCCGCCCAGGCCCGACGTTGGCGGCGCGCACCAGGGGCGGAGGGAGGGGCGAGGGCTTCTTGGAAGGGGGCTGCTTCTCAGAAGGCGCCGGCCCTGCATTTCCAGATGGGGCCCGCGCCTCCCGAGAAGCAGGGGCGCGTCTGAGAAGCCCTCCCCCCTCCCCTAAAACAGAGCTAGGATCGGGATAAATCGCTCCAGAGCGTTCCGGAGCGCTCTCAGAGCGTTCCGGAACGCTCTGGAGCGGCCGCGGCGCCCAATACATCCTCCAAACCTGTCGATTTTCAGAGATTTCGAGTTATCCCGATCCGATTTTGTCCCGATCTTCGCGTCGTTTGATCCCCCCACCCCCCTCTGCGCGTGGCTGGCGAGGGGGCCTCCCGCTGCCGAGCACGAGCGCCTGCGCGAGCAGCCGCTCGGACGGCAGTGGTCCAGAGGGCTGTGCCTGGCGGCAGAGAGAGCGCCTGCTCCAGGCGGCCCGACGACGAGGACGACGACGACGACGACGATGAGGACGACGACGACGACGACGACGACGACGACGACGACGACGACGACGATGAGGACGACGACCACGACGAGGACGACGATGAGGAGGACGACGACGAGGACGACGACGAAGATGACGCGGACGAGGCCGGCCCGGTCAACTCAAGGCAATCAAGCCAGACGTTAATTACTCCGACGGAAGGACCCCACATGAGAATCTCTTTAGCTTGCATGGGGGTATCCTCCTGCCCCTTCCCTTCTCCCACCTACTCTTGCCTCCTCGTTCTCCTCCTGTCTGCTCCTCCTCCTGCCTCAACCCCTGCCTCTTCCTCCTCTTCTTGCCTCCTCCACCTCCTCCCCCTCCCCCTCGTTATGCTTCCTCCCCCCCATTCCCCCTGCCCCTCCTGCCTCCTGCCTCCTCCTCCTGCTCTCCCTCTCCCTTCTCCTCGTCCTCCTCCTCCTCCTCATCCCCTGTCCTCCTCCTCTCCCTCTCCCTCATCCGCTTCCTCCTCCTCCTCCTCCTCCCCTCTCCCTCCCGCTTCCTCCTCCTCCTCCTCCTCCTCCTCCTCCTCCTCCTCGTTTCCATATTCCTCCCCCCTCCTCCCCCCCCCTCCTCCTCCTCCTCCTCCTCCTCCTCCTCCTCCTCCTCCTCCTCCTCCTCCTCCTCCTCCTATGGCCTGGGAGGGTCGTCATGCTTCTGCCAGAGCGCCTCACGCGTCCATCTGGCGGAGCATCCACGAGCTGTATAGAGGCGACCCTGTCAGGCCCGTGTTTGTTTGGACGAAGGCCCATCGGACCGTCCTCGAGGGGTTTGAGGCCTGCCTGGCCTCCCAGGAGCCCCTGGAGCATTTTTTCGGTAATATGTGGGCTGATGTTTTCGCCCGCGTGGCAGCGGCTGATTTCCTTGGATCCACCTCCGTGGTCAAGGCTCGCAAATTTTCTCTGCTTCGGGCCCAGGACACGATGCGTTGTCTGGCCTGGGCTGCCGAGCGCGTGGCCCGCCTCTCCACCCCGATACTTCGTGCGCCTCCGAAGGCTGTCTTTCGGCCCCGCCGTCCGCGGCGGCCGACCGATCACGACTTTGTGGTCTTCGCTGGGGGAGCTATTCGATGTCGAGCCTGCTGGAGGCTTGCAGCGACGGCCTCGTCGTTGAAGTCTCTGGCCTCCCGTGCTGCGACCCCCAGGAGGTCGGGCCAGGACACCAGGTCCAGGCCTTGGATCGAGTTTTGATCTGTGTTAAGTGCGGGGCGCACGCTGTGCGCCCCAATCGGCTGTCGGTCGGCCTGTCTCGAGCGTGCAAGAGGGCTGGGACGGGGTCGGCGGGAGCTGGGAGTGGGGGGGACGGAGCTATCGCGTCGATGCTCGAGCTGGCTCGAAGGGGCCTGCATCCCAAGACGGGCGAGCCCCTCGAGCCGCTCGTCTTCTCGGAGCTCGGGGTGCCTGCGATGCCGCAGCAGGCGCCCGAGCCCGAGGCACCTGACTAGTGGGCGGAAGTGCTGGCGGGGGGCGCGGTGCGAGTGGGGACTGCCCGGCGTTGCGCCGTTAGTGACCCTCGCACCGTTGCTCCCCAGCCCCGCGCACGGAAGGAGCAGATCCGCTGCACTTAAGGGCCCCTTAAGTGCAGCGGGCTGTCTTGGCCTCCATCGCGTCGATGCTCGAGCTGGCTCGAAGGGGCCTGCATCCCAAGGCGGGCGTGCCCCTCGAGCCGCTTGTTTTCTCGGAGCTCGGGGTGCCTGCGATGCTCAGCAGGCGCCCGAGCCCGAGGCACCTGAATAGTGGGCGGGTGCGGGCGGGGGGCGCGGTGCGAGTGGGGACTGCCCGGCGTTGCGCCGTTAGTGACCCTCGCACCGTTGCTCCCCTGCCCCGCGCACGGCGCGGAGTGCGCCCCTTGTTGGATGAGGGCCCTCTCTCGTTCTTTTTTTCGAGGCGTGTTCGTGATTCACCTGCACGCTCTCGGCACTGTCCTCACTGTCCTCCTCCTCCTCCTCCTCCTCCTCCTCCTCCTCCTCCTCCTGCCTCCTCCTTAGGCCTCCTGCCCCCTCCTGGGGCCTCCTGGGGCCTCTTGGGGCCTCCTGGAGTTTTGTGGAGCCTTCTGGGCCTTCCAGGACCTACTGGGGCCTCCTCGGGCATTCCTCCTCCTCCTTTTCCTCGTCGTCCTTCCTCCCCTCAGCCTCTTCCTCTTCCTGCTTTCCTGTCTCGTCCTGCATCATCCCTCCTCCTTTTCCTGGCAATCCTCCTCCTCCCCGTCCTCGTGCGGAACACGACCCAGAGGAAGCGCACGACGTGCGTCCCAGCCGATACGCGCCGGAGGACGACCCAGAGGAAGCGCGCGCCGGAGGATGACCCGGAGGAACCACGTGAGCTGCGGGACCCATAGGAAGGCTCCCGCCTGACGCGTCCTCACAATTCACTCACAGACGAGGGTCCCGCTTGATACTTCTTCCAAATTCAGACCTGAGGAGCCCAAAAGTGACGACAGTTACAGGAATCCGATGACCCGCTCGGATTAATAACATGATCTGCGGGCCCCATAGGGAGGGGGCTCCCGCCTGAGACTTGCTCGCAATTCACTGACAAACGAGGCTCCCGCCTGATACTTCCTCCAAATTCAGACCTGAGGAGCCCAAAAGTGACGACAGTTACAAGAATCCGATGACCCGCTTGGATTAATAACATGATCTGCGGGCCCCATAGGGAGGGGGCTCCCGCTTGAGACTTCCTCACAATTCACTCACAAACGAAGTTCCCGCTTGATACTTTCTCCAACTTCAGACCTGGGGATCCCAAAAGATACGACAGTTATAAGAATCCGATGACCCGCTCGGATTAATAACATGATCTGCGGGCCCCATAGGGAGGGGGCTCCCGCCTGAGACTTCCTCACAAGTCACTGACAAACGAGGCTCCCGCCTGATACTTTCTCCAAATTCAGACCTGAGGAGCCCAAAAGTGACGACAGTTACAAGAATCCGATGACCCGCTCGGATTGATAACATGATCTGCGGGCCCCATAGGGAGGGGGCTCCCGCCTGAGACGTCTCACAATTCACTCACAGACGAGGCTCCCGCTTGATACTTCCTCCAAATTCAGACCTGAGGAGCCCAAAAGTGACGACAGTTACGCGAATCCGAGGACCCGCTTGGATTAGTAACATGATCTGCAAGCCCCATAGGGAGGGGGCTCCCGCTTGAGACTTCCTCACAATTCACTCACAAACGAAGTTCCCGCTTGATACTTCCTCCAAATTCAGACCTGAGGAGCCCAAAAGTGACGACAGTTACAAGAATCCGATGACCCGCTTGGATTAATAACATGATCTGCGGGCCCCATAAGGAGGGGGCTCCCGCCTGAGACTTGCTCGCAATTCACTCACAGACGAGGCTCCCGCTTGATACTTTCTCCAAATTCAAACCTGAGGAGCCCAAAAGTGACGACAATTCCAGGAATCCTATGACCCGCTCGGATTAGTAACATGATCTGCGGGCCCCATAGGGAGGGGGCTCCCGCCTGAGACTTCCTCGCAATTCACTCACAGACGAGGCTCCCGCTTGATACTTCCTCCAAATTCAGACCTGAGGAGCCTAACAGTGACGACAGTTACAGGAATCCGATGACCCGCTCGGATTAGTAACATGATCTGCGGGCCCCATAGGGAGGGGGCTCCCGCCTGAGACTTCCTCACAATTCACTCACAGACGAGGCTCCCTCTTGGTGGATGATGGTAATGGGATGATGACGACGGTGTTTGATGATGATATATGATGATGATTGATGATGATGATGATGATGATGATGATGATGATGATGATGATGATGCTGATGATGATGTGATGATGGTGGTGGTGGTGATGATGACGACGTGATGATGATGATGGTGGTGATGATGAGTGCTGATGGTGAGTGATCGTGCGATTCTGATGGTAAATGGTGGTGATGATGATGGGGACGAAGTGGTGAGTCAGCGAGTAGTGATGATGATGATGATGAATGATGATGATGATGATGATGATGATGATGATGATGATGATGATGATGATCGTTCGATGCCGATGATGGTGAGTGATCGTGCGATGGTGATGGTGATGCTGATGGTGATGATGATGATGATGAGTATGATGATGATGATGATGATGATGATGATGATGATGATGATGATGATGATGATGATGATGATGATGATGATGATGAGTGTGGAGTGATGGTGATGGTGATGGTGATGATGATGCGGAGGAGGAAGCAAAGAGGAGCAGAGGAGAGGGAGGAGGAGGAGGGGGAGGAGAGATCCTGCGCGGAGGGTGTGCAGAGAAAACAATAACCCCACTTAGGATGTGGGGAAACACACTCTGATGCAAGTATCCTGTCGGTGTCGGGCTGACGTTTCGTCCGCCAGTCTGGCTACCGATCATGTGCATGCAAAGTATGCAAGCATTGCGGCAATGGACGTTGTGTACGTTGATGTGTGTTGCAACCCTGCTCCGGGAGCAAAGACAAGGCTTCGGTGCTCCAATGATCCTGCGACGTCAAGCGCAACATGTGAGATCATCTTGCGGATGCTGCATTCATTATGTTACGGAGTTCTCGCACGTACATCCATGCTCGGGCGTCTTTTGGTGCGGGGTGGCGGTGAAAGTACTGCTCGCTGGTAGTGGTCGAGGCTGCCACGGCTCCTTTGCGCCCACACACCGCGAGTGCACAACTAAAAACCTACTCGTCCTAAGATGCCTGGGCGAACGCGTACGTGTAGCCAGGAACGCGCTGACGCTTCCTGACATCCCCGCATGTTTTTTTTGCAGTTTCTTTGCCTCCCTGGGCCCCCCGCGGGCCCCAGAATTGCCTGGCCACTGCTCAGGTCGGACAGGTTGTCCTGGGGTCCTGGGGGTCCTGGGGTCCTTCTCCTCCTCCTCCTCCTCCTCCTCCTCCTCCTCCTCCTCCTCTGCTTCGTCCCCCTCCCTCCTCCTCCTCCTCCTCCTCCTCCTCCTCCTCCTCCTCCTCCTCCTCCTCCCTTCCTCCTTTTCCTCCTCCTTCTCCTCCTCCTGGTCCCCCTCCCTACTTCTCCTCCTCCTCCTCCTCCTCCTCCTCCTCCTCCTCCTCCTACTCTCCGCCTCCTCCTCCTCCTCCTCCTCCTCCTCCCCCTCCTGCGACTCCTCCTTCATTCTCCTGTCCCTTCTTCTCCTCCTTCTCCGCCTCCCTCCTCCCCTCCTCCTCCTCCCTCCTCCTCCCCCCCTCCCCTTCATTTCCCCTCCTCCTCCTCCTCCTCCTCTTCCTCTTCCTCCTCCTTCTTTCCTCCTCCTCCTCCTCCTCCTCCTCTCTCCTCCTCCTCCTCCCCTCTCCCGACTCCTCCTCATCCTTGGGGCCTGGGGGGGGGGGCGGGGACTGCCGCTATTCAGGTTTTGGGGGAGGAAGGGGGAGGGCTGCCGCCTTCAGGTTTTTAGGGGGGGGAGTTTGGGGAACCTCGTCCTTCCTCCTCCTCCTCTTCCTCGTCCTCCCTCGTCTCCTCCTCCGCTTCCCCCCTCTCCTGCTCCTTCTCCTCCCCTCCTCCTCTTTCCCCCCCTCCTTCTCCCTCCTCCTCCCACCTCTTGCTCCTCCTTCCTCCTCCTCCTCCTCCTCCCATCCTCCTTCTTCTCCTCCTCTCTCTCCTCCTGCTGCTCCTACTCCTGCTTCTGATCCCTTTTTCCCCTCCACCTCCTCCTCCGCCTCCTCCTCCTCCTCCATCTCCTCCTCCTCTCCTCCTCCTCCTCCCCTCTCCTCGTCGTCCGCCTCATCCCTTCCTCCTCTCCTCATCCTCCTCCTCCTTCCCTCCTTCTCCTTGCTCCTCCTCCTCCTCCTCCTCCCCCCTCTCCTCCTCCCTCCTCGTCCTCCTCCTCCTCCCCTCCTGTCTCGTACTCCTGCGCTCCTACTCCTGCTCCTGATCCCTTTTCCCCCTCCTCCTCCTCCTCCTCCCTCCTCCTCCTCCTCCTCCTCCTCTCTCTCGTCGTCGTCCTCCTCCTCCTCCTCCTCCTCCTCCTCCTCATGCTCTTCCTCATCCTTCTCCCCCTCCAGGCTTGGGGTGGGGTTGTCCCCATTCAGGTTTGGGGGGGCCATTCAGGTTGTGTGTGTGGGGGGGTGCTGGGATGGCTCTGCCGGGAAAGGGAGGGGGGGGGGGCCGCCGAAGAGGGGAGGAGAAGAGGGGGAGGAGCCAAGCTGATCCTCCTCCCCCTGCTCCTGCTCCTCCTCCTCCCCCTCCTCCTCCTCCTCCTCCTCCTCCTCCTCCTGTTTCCTCCTCCTCTCCTCTTCCTCTTCCTCTTCCTTCCTCCTCCTCCTCCCCCTCCTCCTCCTCCTCCTCCTCCTCCTCTCCTCCTTCCTCCTCCTCCCCTCCCTTCCTCGTCCTCCTCGTCCTCCGCGTTCTCCTCCTCCTCCTCCTCCTCCTCCTCCTACCCCTTCTCTTCCTCGTCCTCGTCCTCGTCCTCGTCCTCGTCCTCCTCCTCCTTCCTCCTCCTCCTCTCCTCCTCCTCCTCCTCCTCCTCCTCCTCCTCTCCTCCTCCAAATGCAGCATCCAAGACGTGTGGGACAAACCAGCACAGACAAGACACAATCCAGATGATAACAAAGAAAGCACTATAACTGGTGCAAATAAGAGGGGTGAAAGACGAAACGACGAGTCAAGAGGCACAAGATGAGAACGAATACCACAATGCGAATAGGAGACACGCGAGCAGGAGGGGAACAGAGAAAAGACGAAAAGCGCGAGAAACAGAAACGCCACCGCATCGGCGGCACTGCCCAGAGGCCATTCAAATATTGACCCAGGACAGCGCACGAGAGGCCCCTGATGACTCAGGCGGGCCTCCGGAGGTACCCGAAAGAGTGAGACAGGTAACAAAAACTACCAATAGACAGTGAGGGAGATCCGCCGGCCCCCTTGTGGGGCCACCAGGCTGCGAGGCGCGGGATTCGCAGTTTCCTGTACCAGTTGTAGCTTGTAGTTTCCAGTGTTACAGTTCTGCTTCTTGCTGGTTACTGTAACTAGTTGACTCATTGCTGGTTACTGTAACTAGTTGATTGACCGCGCGAGGGGAGGGAGGCCCAAACCGGATTTTTAGCCTCACCTGGGCGCGTTGTCTGAATTGCTGGGGGGGCTCGAAATCAACACCTCTCACGCAGATCCGCGGGGTCAGGGTCCAAAAACACAAAGGATTTGTCACATTTCTGAAATTCGGTGCCACCCCTCACGCAGATCCGTGGGGTCAGGGTCCAAAAACATATGGGATTTGCAACATTTCTGAAATTCGGTGCCACCCCTCACGCAGATCCGTGGGGTCAGGGTCCAAAAACACAGGGGATTTGCCACATTTCTGAAATTCGGTGCCACCCCTCACGCAGATCCGCGGGGTCAGGGTCCAAAAACACATGGGATTTGCCACATTTCTGAAATTCGGTGCCACCCCTCACGCAGATCCGTGGGGTCAGGGTCCAAAAACACACAGGGATTTGTCACATTTCTGAAATTCGGTGCCACCCCTCACGCAGATCCGCGGGGTCAGGGTCCAAAAACACACGGGATTTGCTACATTTCTGAAATTCGGTGCCGCCCCTCACGCAGATCCGCGGGGTCAGGGTCCAAAAACACAAAGGGATTTGCTACATTTCTGAAATTCGGTGCCACCCCTCACGCAGATCCGCGGGGTCAGGGTCCAAAAACACAGGAGATTTGCCACATTTCTGAAATTCGGCGCTACCCCTTACGCAGATCCGCGGGGTCAGGGTCCAAAAACACAGGGATTTGCCACATTTCTGAAATTCGGTGCCACCCTTCACGCACATCCATCGCAAGGCGTGGTAACCCAAACTGCGAGAACTCCCTCGGCCCTTTAATCGCAAGGTGTGGCAACCAAGCCCGTAAACCGCCAGGTGTGGTAACCCCTCTTGTGATCAGTTGGTCTTGCTGATTCACGACAGCGCCAAGACCTCATGACTTAGCTCTTCCATGGCCCATTCTCCGAGGGAGGGGGCCGGCGGCAGGGGGCGAAGCCCTTACGGATAAAGAGAGAGAGAGAGATAGGATAACGAGAGAGAGAGAGAGAGAAACATCTATATCACATAGCACGGATCATAAACATATTGCATAACGATGATATGCCGAATTGCGTATCAAAAAGCGAATCACATACACATATATATATATATACATATATATATATGTATATATATATATATATATATTTATATGACGGACAACCAAGAGAGAGAGGGAGAGGGAGAGAGAGAGAGGGGAAAGAACGAGACAGAGAGAGAGAGAGAGAGCGAGATATTGCATAGCACGGAAAACAAAAACATCAGACACAACGATTCGATAATATAATGCGTGTCGAGGAAACACGAAATAGCGACGGGTATAGAGAGAGAGAGGGGCACAGAAAGAGAGAGAGAGAGAGAGACGGATCGCCGACCGACATCACTGATGGATAGAGATGCCAAGAAAGAGAAACAAAAAGAGAAGGCGCCCACCGGCAGCCGCCCACCGAAACCGGCTGGCTACTTTCGTGAATCTCTTGATGGGGCGCCCACCAAAAGCCGCCCACCGAGAGCCGCCCACCGAAATCGGCCGGATACGTTCGCCAATCTCTTCGATGTCCGCTAGGACCCCTTCAGTGTGAACACTGATTGGGGAAATACCCTGCGGACCCCTTGCGGGGACAGCAAGCGACCACAACCATATCGAGGACGCACCCTGGGGGATACTCTTCGGATGCCAACAATCGCCAGATCCGAAACCAACTTAGTACTGATTGTGGTCGACGTACATAGTCGCTTCATACAGCCAAATCGACCATCCACCCCCCCAACCAACGTGTTCATGTCGATGTCGGTGGGCTCTCCTCCGAGGCGCCCTCCAGAAAAATCGATGTAATTGTGATTGAAGTTCTTTGTCGTACCATGCCACCCCCATGCCAAAAGCTCCGAAACGCAACTCGCCGACAAACATCGTAGGACGTTTACAACGAAAAGAAGATGCTATGTTTGAAGGCCTTGCAGACACAATCATAGCGGATTGGCAACCATGTAGTGAAGCCAAAGACAGGCGCATACTCCCTCTCCCAGAAGATCCGCCTGAACATCGTGTAGAGACAGTCCAGGCGGAGGCGCAATAAACACGCCCTGCGGCCTTACAATTCTATTCATGAGCAAGAGAGAGCATCTGCATAAGCACAACCCATCGGATGTGCGAGCGAACTTCCAGGATCGGCGCTGGACCCCCCTCCCTTGATGAGCGAGGTGCGCCAGGAGTGGCGACGGAGGCGTCGCCAAAGGGGCCCAAGACAGATCCGAGAAACCCAGGCGCAAATCGGACAATCTATATTTATTAGGGGGAAAACAAACCTACCTCGCTTTTGACCACCCTCGCTTCCAAGAGATACCAAACGATGCCAAATTGCAGCCTGTACTGGTCAGACCGCTTGACGAGGAGGCGCGTGGTATGACTTGGTTTTGCCTGGAAGCGAAAGCGGGGGAGGTAATTCACGCTCTGATTTATACAACTGTTCTTCTTCGATTCCAATCGGGGATCGGCAATCGGGCCATTCAAGTCGCGCTCTGGATCGTCGCGGCCGGCCCGCAGCACCGTGCGCGCCTCGACGAAACAGGGTCGTGCCCGACCCATTTGTCATTGCAGGGTCGCGATCTGAGAAATACCGAGAGCACCGAGAGAGCGTGCTGTGGGAGCTTCCCCGATCCGCGGTGTCGACGAGGTGCATGGCATGCAAGCAGGCAAGGAATCCGATCGAGGCAATGCTCGGCCCAGAGAATCTCAAGCGTCGCTGATGGTGCCTGTGTGGAACACGCACGACGGCGCCCTCGCACTCTAGGAACTTTTTTTTTCTTCTAAAACTGTCATTAAGACAATGTCTTTCGACGAGGTGCATGGAACACCCCGAAATGGTCAATGACGGGGCTGCGGCGTCCACGATGCCGGAAACACGGAGGCACAACGAAACCATGAAACCGGCCCAGCACGTAAACCTCGGCACGGCCACCATCGCAGCTGGTGTGTTCCCTCTGCTTTGCGTCGTCCCGCTCGAGACATCTCTGACCTCCAGAAAGGGGGCATCGTGGACCTCCTCGTTGGAAGTGGCCCTCTGGTGGCGGTGTCGCTTCTATCCCCTCCGGCTACAAGGTCTGGGAACTGCCCAAACATCAACAACACACATACGTACGTTTGCTAATCTGAAGCCGTGCGCCCTGGCACGTCGAGGCGTGGTGTAATGCCAAGTGCTGTCTGCACCCCGCCCCCTCCCGAGGGTTCCCAGGCGATTCGACGCATCTCGGCGCTCTCTCAGGACCTCCGAGGCTTCCAAAGCAGCCCATGAGGCCATCGGCACTGGTCAAATGGCCCAACATTGCCTCAAGAGACACCCAGCACAGTCAACCCGCATAGTAAGGATGCGCGGTAAGGATGCAAGGGCCTTGGAGCGCCATGCCAACGTTTTTTCGAACGAGGCTGGCCAGCGGAAGTCGCTAAGGATGGGCCGAAGGGGCAAGGATGTAAGGGTACCCTTGTGCAGGCTGCCCATCCTTACTATGCGGGTTGACTGTAGCTCCGAAGCAGACCCCCAAAAGCGCCAGAGCCCTCCGAGGTTCGCGAAACATCAAATTGAAACCTCCAGGAGAGCAATAAGCACACAAACGTCTAAAGGAACAACGCTGTTTGTGGTTGTAAGTCGTAGCTCTTTTCAAAAACGCGTGCTCCATGTGTAAACAAGGTGTTCGATGTGTTGCCTTTGTGAGCCTCTCGGTTCAATCTGATTCCAAGAGGGCCGCGGACAAGCCATAGAGAGTCCGAAAGATCAAGGAGGGGCTCCATAAGGCCCCCAGACGGCCCAGGGCAGCTTCGAGAGGACCCCGAGACGGGCAGCCCAAGAAAGCCCAAAGATGTCGCACGAAGCCCCAACGTAAGACCCAATAGACTCTCCAGACGGCCGAGAAGGGGCCCAAGACGGCATCAAGAGGGCCACTGAGGGCCCCACGGGAGCCGAAGCCAGCCCAGAGACGACCCAGACAGCCCCCCAATGACAGTCAGGGAAGAGGAGGAGGAGGAAACAGGGAAGAGGAGGAGGCGGAGGAGGAGTAGGACCAATGCAAACCAAAGACTCATCAACGACGTTGGAGTAAACCCTCCCTCCAAGCTCCCTCCTCTTAGGCCCCTACAAGGGTTTATTTCCACTGAGGGATCCGCATGGTTGGGCGACAAACCATTGAAGACCCTGAAGCGGGCCAAAACGCCATTCTCGGGACTCCAACGATACAAATCAACATGACTTTTGCGCCTTGGCTATGGGGAATCGTGCCAGAACACCCTTCCCGTGTCTTCAACACCGCGAATCAACATAAATACTGCGCCCTCGCAATCCTGAGTCCTTCCGAAACACGGTTTCTACGTTGACCATGGGAATCCGTGAAACTCTTGCGAATATTTTCAACATAGTGTGCGCGGCGCTGAGCGAGAACCACATGTTGAGAAAGAGCCGCCCTCAATCCGTAAAGCTCTTGCAATTCTTTAGCAAGAATGTGCCCGGCACTCAAGCGAGAACCACATGTTGAAAACGAGCCGCCCTCAATCCGTGAAGCTCTAGCAAATGTTCAAGGCGTATGTGCGCGGCGCTAAAACGAGAACCACATTTTGAAAACGAACCGCCCCCAATCCGTGAAACTTCTTCGATTGCTTAAAAAGAATGTGCACGGTGCTAAAAAAAAAAACCACATGTGTACCGCATTTTGAAGACGCCCCGCCCTCAATCCGTGAAACTCTTGCATTTGTTGAGACGAATGTGCGCGGCACGAATGCGAGAACCACATTTTGAACATGTCCGCCCCCAATCCGTGAAACTCTTGCAACATGTTTAAAACGAATGCACGCGGCGCTAAGGCGAAAACCACATTTTGAAAACCACCTGCCCTCCATCTGCGAAGCTGATGTCAATGCTCAAGATGAAGGGTCATAATTGGCGAGGAAGTCTCAGGCGAACCGCCAGGCCCGCCCTTTAACCCGGTCTCGGGGTGCGACAGGGAGGAGTTATTGATTAGGGAAAGGACGAGGAGGAGCAGGATAAGGAAGAGTAAGATGGAGTTTCACGGAGGAGGAGGAGGAGGAGGAGGAGGAGGAGGAGGAGGAAGAGGAGGCG